GAGATACTGCATTTTTAATTTTTAAAAAATTTAAGTGCCATATATGGCTAGTGGCTACTACAACAGATAATGCAGTACACCATGCCAGGCCTCTCTAACCTTTTATGTGGTTAAGAATCCCCAGAGGGCTGGGGATGTGGCTGAAGCGGTAGCGCGCTCACCTGGCATGCGTGCGGCCCAGGTTCGATCCTCAACACCACATCCAAAAAAAAGATGTTGTGTCTGCCAAAAACTGAAAAATAAATATTAAAAAATTCTCTCTCTCTCTCTCTTTAAAAAAAAAAAAAAAAGAATCCCCAGAGGTGCTTGTTAAAATGCAGATTCATGCCTCCCCTCTGGGGATTGGTGATCTATGTACCTAAACAAACCCTGGCTTTTCTGACATGGTGGATTTCATCTTGAGAGGCACGGAAATGGAATTTCTTGGGTTTCTTGGAGTAACATAATTCAAGTTAGTCAGTAAACCAGGATTTCATGGGCCAGGTCTGTTTCTACACAGCAAATAAATAAAATATAGTAATAGGTTCTGAGTGGAGCACTTGATTAATTTTAGTTTCTTGATCTGCATTTTATATACAGCACTGGAGTAACTGATGAACTAGCATATGACATTAATTCACTCTCAACAAATAGCTTTGGAAAAGTCACTTGCTCTGATTTCCTGGTTCTGGCATTTTTCTCTGAGTGATTTTTAAGGGCTGGTCCCCAGACTGGCATCATCATCCTCATCACCTGGGAGCTTTTTAGAAATGCAACCTCTTGAGTTTCATCCCAAACTTAATGAATCAGAAACTCTGGGAATGGACCCAGCAATTTGATTTAACCAGCCCTTCAAGTGATTCAGATGCTTACTAAATTTGAGAACCACTGAACTAAAGGATGAAATGTATGGGAAGTCTAAGAACCAGATAGCTTTTGATTTCTCTTTCTTTAGTTCTATTGATGCTAAATGATCTAAGCCAATTGGCAGCTTTCCTACCACTTAGGACTGTTAAGTTGAAATAACAGAGTTGGGAGACTGTTAAATTTTAAAGTTTTTAGGTCTCAGATTTTGGTACTAAGATGTTTTTAGGAGATTTCAGGATCTCTCTCCGTTTAGTGGGATAGTGCCAGCATTCTGATAATGAATGATAACTGTAAAGACCAACTATTAATAGCTTATGAATATTCAACTTTATCAGTCCCCAAATGCCTTTAAAGCTAAGAAGTACTTTGACAATGGAAGTCTGGGGTTAAAATCTAAAGACTCCATTGCTTGTTTTGATTCTAAGGGAAAAAAAACTTTCAAAGTAGCTGTCAGGGTAGCTTGTTTCTCTGATATAGGAGTTGACTTTGACGGAGAAAACCTGTTTGTTCCAATCTCTTTCCTTTTAGGCGCTTTGGAATAATGGGACTCTACAAAGGCCTTGAAGCCAAACTGCTACAGACTGTCCTCACGGCTGCTCTCATGTTCCTTGTTTATGAGAAACTGACAGCTGCTACCTTCACCATTATGGGGCTGAAGAGTGCTCGCAAGCACTGAGATGCTGTGCAAAGGAAAGTGCAGAGATGCTACCCTTCCAAGTGACAAGAAGTGATTCTCCTTTCTTCTCCTTTTGCTCTGGCATCTGCAACTACAAAGGTTTTTCATTGACTGTGAAAGCATCAAAGGGCACCCTTGAAGTATAACTGGCCAGATCTATTGCCAACTTGATTTTTACAATGACTGGTTGGATTTGGGGGTGGAAGTTGAATTAATATCAAAAGAAAACATTATCGAAAACCTAAAAACAAAAGTTGGGGTGTTTGTTGGGTTTCTTAAGGAAAAAGGACTATTATTCTCATATGTAATCTTTCCCATCCAAAGTTAAATATACCAGATGTTGTCTTTTCCTGAACTCTCTCCTAGGTTCTAGGACAAATTCAATGACATGTAATTTTCTTCAGATGCTTTTATATGTCTTAATCTTGATATTTCCTTACCAAAAATATTATGGCTGTTCCAAGGGCGTGACTTTATTTTTGTTGGGCTTTCGTCCCCGCCCCCGCCCCCCCCTTAAGGAGAGTTACATGAGCTATTTATTTTGTGGGAAAATGAACATTGTTAATCCCAAATGGTTCTCTCTTACAGACTATTTGTAAACATCACTTATTAATTAGTGTTTGACATAATTTTTTAAAGTATTTGAATCAACTTTCATTAAAGTTTTATGTCCATTCATATAAGCCCCAATCAGTCAAGCCCTAATAAATTGTCAGCACAAAAAGATGTTCTTGGCAGTTGCTCTTTATTAAGATTTTACATTGGATGTGCAGCCTGTAGTAAAAAAATCACAAAAAAAGGAGGGGAAGCAAATACCTTGTGTAGTCAACAGAATATTCTCTCCTTTTATAGACTCTGGGTGAAGTCTGTATATTTTGAGAAACATCCGATGAGGTTATTTTTATTTGGAAAAGTCCCTTGGAGACTTCCTGTTCAAACTGTGATCCATCAAACAGGAGCATTCTAGCTGAGAGCTTGTTGGATTTACAGCTTAGCCTTCTGAACCCCTTTCTACAGTTGAATGGGGACCTAGTGATCCATATTTACATTAAAGTTCCAGAAACGTTAGGGCCCTGGCCCAGCAGAAGATGATTTCAATTATAGAAACCAAGATAAAGATTCTTCTCCAAGAAAGCTGGATTAATGTATGAAGACGACTTCTGAACAGTCTATGAGTCTCAGGTCATCATTTGCTTTCCCTTCAGAGCGTGTAGCTAGTAGATTTAGACATCTCAAGCAAAAAGGAAATTTTCTTCACATTGGTAGAATAACTCTTTGGATTCCTACGACATAGTTTTTGTCCTTATAACAAAATGATAGGTGTTTTATCATAAGTTTATGATTCAGTCAGAGGGAGTAATAGTGATGTGTCAGTGGACCTCAGTGTTTAGATCAGGTTTTTTTTTTTTTAGAGACAGAGAGAATTTTTTTTAATATTTATTTTTTAGTTTTCGGCAGACACAACATCTTTCTTTGTATGTGGTGCTGAGGATCGAACCCGGGCTGCATGCATGCCAGGCGAGTGCGCTACTGCTTGAGCCACATTCCCAGCCCCTAGATCAGTTTTGAGAGTGAAAAATTCTCTTGTTTTCCCTCCTTGATCTCTGTGGTAATTTCAAGATATTTGATTATTAGACTAGTACTAATTGAAAGAGCATAGTATTGTTCTAGAAAACAAGAATTAGAAGGAACTAGACTGAATATTTTTTCCCTATTTAAGCCAAAGAATTGAAGACAAAGTTAGCCCCATCACTACTTTTAATTTTACTTAAAGGTTTGTGAGTGTCTATGGGGGGGTCTTAAGTAGAAGCACAAAACTATTATTTTGTCTTCTATGCAGTAGGAGAGTGATTTTTTTCTCTTTACTTTGAAACTTTTTGAGCTCAGAGTATTATGGATTTGTATGTTAGAGTAACTTAGAACCCAAAATATATAGCTATATTAGATGTTCCTGATGTGAGAATGTACTTGATGTTTTCCTTTTTTCTGAATTTATGAGAGAACAATTTAATATTGAGATTTTGTGTTCCTTGTGGAAGCTTATAGAATCACTAGTTCAAACTAGGCAAACTAGGTAATAACTACCTAATTTTGTAACCTTTGATTAATAATAACTTGATTGAGAAAATTAAAGAACTCTAAAGTTCATACTAGGAAAATGGAGTTTTTTGGGTTTGGGTGTTTTTTTTTTGTTTGTTTTTCCCTCCTTTGACAGTTTCTCTAGAATATAGAGGATTAATACCTTAGGGATTACATTAATGTTGCTGCAGTAGAATATTTAATTTCTGTAAGTATTTAATCTCTGTTTGAAGTGGACACTGTAATACTTCTGCCCTTTACTATTTTACAATTAACTTTGAAATATAAAAATAGGATTTACCATAAGAAGAATATAAGCAGTGGGAGTTAGAAATCTTTGGTTTTATTCCCAGTTTTATCACTGAATGGAAAATGATGTCATCTTTCCTGTGCTTCAGTTTTGAAAAGTGGAAATAATAATATTCACTACCCACTTCAGAGGGTACGTGAAGCTAATTATATCAACTAAATCCCTTTGCAATCATTGGAGTTGGGGAAGATCTGAGTGAAGCTTGGCAGTGCTCAGATTTATATAGCAATTTCCTTTCACAAAGCTTCTACATTTTCCTTGTTTTATAATCCCAGTATCTCTGTGAGATAGGTAGGGACAAGTAGCAGTATCCCCATTTAATTAACAAGGAATTGAGACTGGCTTGTTGAGTCTGGTATAAGATTAAGAGTATGGGTTCTGAAATTAGACCTCATTCAAACTTTGGCTTTATTCCTTACCAGCTCTGGGAACAAAGCCATTCATGAACTATTAGAAGAGTCATTTTCCTTAACTGTAGAATAGAGATCATGATAAAACTAGCTCATGGGGTGATTTGAAGGATTAAATGAGGTCACACACATAAATTACTTAGCACAGTGCTTGCCACATGAGAAGAGCTAGATAAATATTAGCAGTGGCTGTTATTATTGTTATTGATTAGGAATACAGCTATTTGAGTAGATGTAACTAGTCAAGTGAAAGACACTCTAGATTTTGAGCCAGACCTGGTTGCCAGTTTTCCTTCTTTCAATTCATAGACTTGTTGCCACAGATAAATCATTTAACCTTTGTGAGCCTCTGTCTCTTCCACTATCAAACAGAAATGATTACTTTTCAGGTTAGGAATGTAGCTCAGTCATAGAGCACTTGCCTACCATGTGGGAGGTCCTGGGTTCTATCCTTAGCACCACACAAAAAAGATTAGTTCTTAGGGCTGTTCTGAGGATTAAAGAGGGTGGGGGGAAGCATCTGGCACAATATTTGACATATATGTGCTTAATAAATGCTTTTTGAACCAAGAAATCCACTGTTTGACTGTGGGGCAGCTTTTCCTCTTTCCATTGGTTTTAATTGTGAATATTTTTTTTCTGGGAGGCTTTTGATTTATCTTCTCAAGAAAGAAGCCAAGTGCTATTTCAGCAGCACAAGTACTAAAATTGGGATGGTACAAAGAAAACTAGCACAGCCCCTGTACAAGTGTGACACACAGATTCATCAAGTGTTCCATGTTTTTGATTGTGGGTTTTTATGTTGTTTTTTGGACTGGAAAGAATAATGAGTGTAAAATGTTTATTTTGAGTAAATGGTAAAAGGCCAAAGAAAGTGATAATGAGAGAGGCTAAGTCCAGTAATTTTATATTTTATTCAATTTTAAATTAAATCCTCCCGAAACTTATGTTAAACCTGAGTTACCTCTTTAAAAGCCCCCTGTTCCTGCTGATGGGCAGAATCATAGCCTTCAGGACAGAAGTCTGCTAGCAAAGCAATAAACCTTTTTCCTTTTTCTAAAAAAAAAAATCAGTAAACATGAATTGATTCAATAGCAGAAAGTCAATCACTGGCCAAGCTAGTGACTCACCTTGGCTTTTTGAAAAGCTCAGAACAGTGACCTTGAGGCCAAATACCACACATCTAAGGAGAGCCTGGTGGGGAAATTACTTATCTGGCAGTACTGAATGTCACCAGTATACCACATACATAGGAAGGTTCATTTGTAGGATATTTATATATGCAATAAATGTGCTTTTTACCACTGTGTAAATGAAAGGGCCCTGGGTTAGTGCTGATCTTTGTGGGGCATACTGGTAGCCCCTGAAAAGTATGTTCAGTAGAACTTTTTTCTTTCTTTTTTTTTTTATAAATTTTTTTTTTAAAGAGAGAGGAGAGAGAGAATTTTTAATATTTATTTTTTAGTTCTCAGTGGACACAACATCTTTGTTGGTATGTGGTGCTGAGGATCGAACCTGGGCCGCACACATGCCAGGCGAGCGCGCTACCGCTTCAGCCACATCCCCAGCCCATGTTCAGTAGAACTTAATAGGCAAGAAAAAAAGGTTTTCTGTGGCATGGGTGAGAGAAGAAAATTATCATTTAAAGACAGAGTGCAAAGGGAATTAGGAGTTGTGAGAGTCAGAAGGAGAGACAAGGCACCAGTGCCTGACACAGCACTCAATGAGGAGATGTTCAAAAACTGACAGGTACACACAGGGCAGTGAACTGTAGAACCCACCAATGGAGTCCAATCTGTAAAGACGTTAATGGGAAGAAGTACTTTGAAATTAATTGTATTGCCCAAAAATAGGTAATGGAACTTCCATGTGTTGAATGCCAGTTGTAGTTGATCTGCACGCATCTTAATATCCTTGTAATAATTCCAAACTCATGGGGTTCATTCCCACTAGCAGATGAGGTATCCAATGTTTATAGAGCAACATATGGACAGTCATGGATAGAAATCAGGAGTCAGAATTAAGCTGACTTTAAAACTTTCTGCACTGCCACTCTACATCCTTCAGGTTCCTTAAAACCATCAAAGTCAGTGTGTAGCTCCCCTTTGCATCCTAGATGGGTATATGATTGATGACACGCAGTTCTTTCTGTTAAGAACTATTAGTACTCCATTATGATACCACATGGCTCCAGGGAAGCCTGTGGCCTCTGTCCAAAGGTGACTCCTTGAATCCGTGCCATTTTGTGCCTTACTCATTACCTTTGTTTATGCTTTCTGGTCCAACAGGAATCTCTTCCTATTACTAGTGAATTCCTGCTCAGATCAGGCATCAGCTGTTCCTGAAGGCCTTTCTGGAACTTTTTTCCCCACCTATCCACACAGGCTTTTCTTTGTACTTCCATAGTATTTTTAAAAAATATTTTTTAGGGGCTGGGGATGTGGCTGAAGCGGTAGCGCGCTTGCCTGGCATGCGTGCAGCCCAGGTTCGATCCTCAGCACCACATACAAAGTTGTTGTTGTGTCCGCCAAAAACTAAAAAATAAATATTAAAAAAAATTCTCTCTTTTAGGTGGTGCTAAGGATCGAACCCAGTGCCTCACGTGTGCTAGGCAAGCACACTCTACCACTGAGCTACTGCCCCAGCTCTGGAGAATTGAGTTTTTAAGGGGGGGATGGGTCTTCATCAAGTAGTAGTCTTGTTCGTTATAGGCACCCAGTTGTTGGGTCTTTCTGGTTAAACACAGCATGCTGATTTTTCTCCACTCAAATTTATCTATTTGCTAATTAAGAGTTTACATGCGTTAGGTGTCTTGCACTCTGGTGTTTTCTTGGTTGATTATCAAGTTTTTTTCAGAATTTTTTTCCCTTAATTAGTGTACACTTTTTTGAAGTATATTTTATTTTGATAGTTAGATTTCTTAACCTTTAAGCACTCATTATTTTTTGCTTTAAAAGGAGACACCAAAATTATCTTCCCTAATGGTATCATCTAATAAATGTTCCTTGTTTATCTCATTCTTGTTTTGCTTTAGATTCTGTGAAACCCATTGGCAAAGTAGATCGCCAGCCTAATAGGTGGCTCCCTGTGTGGGTGCAGTGTGGAGGGCCTTGGTAAATTACACATTCCTATTCTAAGAAAAATGTTCTGTTCATGTATTCAAGGAGTCATTTTTCATTATCTACCATCTAAGCACTATGCCAGTTGCTGGGATTATAAAGATAAATAATACTCAGTTTCTGCTCTCATCATTGTTCAGTATGGGAGTCAGAAACAACTTCGAATCTTAGAATTCTCCCTCTATTGAGTTCTGATGAAAAAAATGTAAATGTTCAGGAGTTGCTTTGGGAGTATGGGGAGGCCAGACCTCCTCCATTTTGAACTTTGTGGTCAGAAGGTAACATTTGAACTAGGAACACACTAAGTAGTAGTGGGTAAAGGACTCTCTTATAAATAAACGGCATTTGCAAATTGCTTTACTATCTCTACATTAAAATTAGATCCATAAAAGCTTTTCAGCCTAGACCCCTGGGTTAAACACATGTTGAAATGGAGGAGAGGAAAGAGCCTTAGGGATTGAGAACCCTCAATTAGGGAGTAGAGTTATTAGAATTCCATCCTTAACAATTTTGTCTACATTTAGACTTAGGTATAAAGAAAGAAGGTGAGACCCTTTTGCTGTAAATTTTAAATTTTTTTAATTTGAAAAGTTGCTGAGGCTAGCCTCAAACTTGAAATCCTTCTGCCTCAGCCTCCCAAGTCACTGGGATTACAGGTGTGTACCACCACGCCCAGCTTAAACAGATTTCTAGGGCTGGTTTTGTGGCTCAGTGGTAGAGCACTTGCCTAGCATGTGCAAGGCCCTGGGCTCCATTCTCAGTGCCACGAATAAATAAGTAAATAAATAAAATAAATGTTCTCCAACAGCTAATAAAATATTTAAAGTATTTTTTAAAAAGATTTTTGAAATCACACAGAACATGGTTTTAGTTCTGTGTCTGAAGATGGTCCAGTAAGAACAGTTTAGACTTACTCTGAATTACTGTTATTGTCAAGACTGACCACCTACTCTGAAATTTTATTCTCCATCAATATAGAAATGTTTACTTGAAAAATTCTTCTTAGCCTACTCAAGGTGTACTATTTTCCCAATTTAAAAAAAAAATGTGATAAAACATACAACATAACCATCCTAACTTTTTTTTTTTTCCTTTTGGTACTGGGGACTGAACCCAGATGCACTTTACCATCCCCAGCCTTTTTTATTTTGAGACAGAGTCTTGCTAAGTTGCTTAGGGCCTCACTTAATTGCTAAGGCTGGCCTCAAACTCATGATCCTCCAGCCTGAGTCTCCCAAGTCACTGGGATTACAGGTTATACCATTGTACACAGGTGAGTTTTTATCTGAATAAAACTTACCCTGCATTTGCTAGTGGATTAAAAATTATAAAACCAGTGAAGGAGAATTTTTAAATTTTAATTTGCAATTAGCTTACAGGTACAGTATTTTTTTTTAATGCACTCTATTCTGTTGTGAGATTTGGGATAATTGTTATTATTTTTTAAGAGTTGGGGTCTCACTATATTGTCCAAGGCAGGCCTCAAATTCTTAGACTCAAGTGATGGTCCTGCCTTGGCCTCCTAAGTAGTTGGGAGTACAAGCAGACCATTGCACCTGGCTCTTAATTACTTTTATTCTCTATAGATAGGAAGATGAGATACATATCTGGCTTAGGTCACATAGCAAAGGATTGGGAGTTTAAAGCAGGAATTCATACTTCTTAACATTATGCTGAATAATCTCTCACTTGGTTCATGCTCCTTGGAGCATCTATATTTTCTAATTTGGCTTAAAATTTTTTTTAAATATTTATGTTTTTAGTTATAGTTGGACACAATACCTTTATTCCGTTCATTTATTTTTATGTGATGCTGAGGATCAAACCCAGGGCTCCCGTGCATGCTAGCCGAGCGCCCTACCGCTGAGCCACAATCCCAGCCCCATGGTTTAAAATTTTTACGTTAGCTTTAGACTTACAAAAAAAGTAGTCATTTAAAGTTTTTCAGAAAATATAGAAAAATATTAAAGAAGGGCTGGGAATATAGCTCAGTTGATAGGGTGTTTGCTCGCATGCACAAAACTCTGGGTTCAATCCCCAGCATCACACACAAAAAAAGAAAGAAAAATATTAAAATGAGGTGTATGTGTGTGTTCCAGTATTCCTACTGCCTAGAAATGATTACTAATATTTTATTGTATCTATTTCAAACGGTAACTTTTTCATCTCAAATATAATTTAATGTCAATAACTATGTGAAAATTTTAGTTGCTACAGAATTGTATTATAATAATGTTTCATTTTGCCAGGTGTGGTGGTGCATGCCTGTAATCCCCATGCCTCAGGAGGCTGAGACAGGAAGGTTGCCAGTTCAAAGCCAACCTCAGCAATGGCAAGACACTAAGCAACTCACATTGGTTTTGTTTTTTTTTTTTTTAAAAACACACATTCATTTAATCATGCAAAAAACACAACACATTGGTTTTGTTTTTTTTTTTTTTAACACACATTCATTTAATCATGCAAAAAATACAACACAGACACTAAGCAACTCAGTGAAACCCTTCTCTAAGTAAAATACAAAAATAGGGCTGGGGATGTGGCTCAGTGGTCAAGTGCCCCTAAGTTCAATTGCCAGTACCCGCCCCTAAAAAATAATAATAATTGAATTCTTACTGATAGACTTCTAGATTGTTTCCATGTTTTTTTTTTTGCTATTATAAATA